TTTTCTGGTTAATTGCTGGTCTAGAGTTATTTCGGTGCGATTATCAAGGTAATCAAATCAGCCTAAGTTTATGCCGAGAATGTTTAAACGTTTAACAGGATCTTATAGAAAAGTCTGAAATAGAATTCGTCGAGATTACCGTAACTTTTCATTCAGTGTCGGGCATTACTATAATCGACTTTTTTTTATTTAGGTGATATTTGTGTTCGGTACCAGCATCTGGAGCAACCTCCACAACTCAATTTTTTATACAGTCCATCTGGTGAGCGCAGATTCTTCTTTGACGTGCGCAACACCCCTTATGGCAATCGACTTCACATTTCCCAAGTCACAGACCTTCATCGCAACGTGATTGGCATTCCACTGGAATCATTGGTGACCTTTAGAAACCGCCTTACCACTCTTATTGACGCTTTAAAACTAGAGGACGGGGAGGCAATGAGGGAGACCTTGGAAAAGTACTCCAATCGTCCTAGGAGAATTCGACATCTCCGTCCAACCTCATTCACTCAGCAAACATCCAGCTCTAGCACCCGACAGACTCGAGTTGACCAGGAGAGTAAAGGAGGTCAACAGCACAATAAGATGGAGGATGAAAAAGGTCCCGTGAAGTCTAAACGTCTACCACATCAAAGCGGCACAACTTCAAAGTCCCAACTGCAGCTTCATGAGCCCAACGGTGAAGGTGACCACAAGATCGACGAAGTGCAAGAAAGCACAAATGAAGATACAAAGGAGAATGAGGCGAAGCAGAAGGAAGAGGCACTGAAGGCCAAAAGAAAGAAAAAAGCCAAGAAGCAGTCCAAAGCAGTTGGTGCTAATCAAGATACGGAAAATGTGGCAGCATAAAGAAATGCTTTAGCTTGGCTTACCGTTCCTACCAATTTTCCACTATTATGTCACGTTTGTGCTCTTAGCAGTTCTGCTTCTGTGCAACACCTCAATTTTTTTGTACGGCGATTGGGAGTAGTATCCCTATCACTTGATTTTTTATGTTACAAGTGTGAAGTACGCTGCTGTTCTCCTCTCCTCAATACGAG